AGCAACATTACAATATCACAACATAACGTCATAGAACACCTTTATTGTAAATTTCTTCAACACAAAAAATCCAGAACCAAAATATTTGACGAAATTCTATTAAAGAAAAAAAAAACTGAAATAAAGAGAGGGGGAGAGAACAATGTATACCGCAACTTCTGTACATATTTGTTATCTCTGTTCCACAACAGCAGCAAGGGCAACGACAAGCCTTTATTGAGACGACCCGATCCAAATTCCACTTTGGAATCTGGGTTGAATCCTGTGTAAAACTGACACTTGGTGGTTGTGGGTCGTAAATGACCAAAATGCCCTGAAAACAAAAGCACAATTGAGGGACTCTGACTCGTGGCTGCACATGATAACTGTAGGCTGCCTACGTACCCTTTCTGAGGGATCAAGCCACACATAGTTCTTTCCTCTGTTCCTGATCTATAAACTGGCAGGCCTTGGAGATACTGTTTAATCCGGGTCGCAACCTGTAACTGATTACCTGCTCCTGTCGGTCTGGACCTGTTTACTGTAAACCTAGTTCTAAGGCTGACATTTCTGGAGTATCCGGGACTCCATTTTACGATCTGTCAACTATCATGTAATCCTGGAATTACCTGGACCAACATACCTGAGTATGACTATGATCCAACGGTTCTGAACCAGGAAATCACCCAATAGGCGAGATTCGTTCGGGGTTCATACGTTATCCGAATTAAGATCCGTGAAATCCTACGCACTCGTGAGGACCAAGGGATTCTTCTAGGACTGACTGTGGTCCCCACTCTACTGTTCACGCGCCGGCAGCGCGTGGTGCCTAAAGCGATAAAGCTTCGTCGGAAAAACTCCAAATCACGGCTCAAGATTCCTATCCTCAGTATAACACCCTATTTGAAGCCACTTTTGTTCTGGGACTTACCCCAAAACTGGCCGGAAGTAGCCGGAACAGTGACCCGAAAATCTGCTGAAACCTAGCTCGTAAATCGAGCTATCTACGCTGGAAATTTCAGAAATCCTATCCAACCAGCAGCTAGAGCATGAAAAATAGCTAGAAAACCATACCTCATTCGTCCGATTTGGTGGCCGGACGGCGGAGAACTAACGCTTGGAAGTTCTATCAAAAACTGACCAGCACCGCCTGTTTCGTGGCTGTTTCCGGCTACTATGGTGGCGGATCGAGGCGGCGAAAGGGCTGGGGCTGGAAGAGGGAAGTTTCGTGGTTCATTTGGCACTGGTCTTACCTGAATCGAAGGTCGGAGCTGAGAGAAAACAGCTCCCAAAGTCGGCTGGTCGGGGCTTCTGAAAAACCAGAAAATCTGAGTTTAAATAATCTGAACTTCGAAATATTTACGGTTATGCCACTGACTTCTTTTGATCTAAACTCCTTAGTTACAACTCCGATTTGAGTCCACTAGTGTCTATGGACTCGTTTCGTCGCGCTCTACGCAACGGTATAACTGAAATTCCCAAATTCCTTCCCAGTCAAAAAGTCAACTTTTAAACCTAATAAAATATTCTAGGGGTATAATGGTCTTTTTTTGGAATAAATTAATAATTAAATATTAATTAAGGACCGGGTTGTTACATTTATTCACGCACAAACAGTCACCTCCCATTACTAATTCAAAAGCTTGTTCAATCCCATTACAGGGGAGAAATACAATCAAAATTTAAAAAAGGGGAAAGAAATTGAAATACAGTGGAGGCGATTAAAAGATGCAAACCTTGTTTCTATGTCAAAGTCCACGAATAGATGTAATTGCGCCATTTTGTTGTTATAGTCCTGCAGCTTCACCCAAGCAACTCTGAGTGCCAATTCAAATCCACCATGAACCAATCCATAAGCTCAAACACAGAACCCAATAAGATGATAAACCACACAAAAGGCTTAATAATTTTGGTCCAAATGAGCAATTCGAGCATATGGTTCTTACCTAAAATGCTTTGGTGAGGTTGCAAAATCACCTTTGTCCTCATGCTTAAACCCTTCAACAACAAAAAAAGAATAAAAGGAAATTTTCGTTGTAATTCCAAGCACATGCAAGAAAGAACAAACGCACCAAATTTTCAATCCAACATAATTATAGAACAAAGACTCTAACTTTTGCCTTTATGTCCTTGAGTTTCCACAAAAACCCAAGTGATTTCAATAAAAAGTACTAATGTTATTAAGTGGGTGGCCTCAAAGACTCTTATAAGCATAATTTGTGAACTTCTACCCACAAAACAATAGTAAAATGTTTAAAAGGATGAATTTTTTTTTTCTTGCTTTTTCTTAGCAAACAAAGATAGGGTAAGTAGGTTTCTACATATTTTATAAAGTGTTAAATTTGATTTTTTGTTTGAATGATCTTATATTGAAGCAGCCATCTTTACCTTCCAGGTGAGAGACTGGTCGATTAGTTCAGAATATCAGCTCATCATATTTCCTTTTAGACGCAAATAGATATTAAGCTCCTAGGGTTCATTATCCACATGCTCAAATAGAGAGAGACACAGAGATCTTGCCTGCTTAATAATTTTTATATTTTTTTGAGATCCTCAAAGAGACTGCTAGTCCCAGACGATTGATCATGTCATCGTCGGACGACTGTCTTTGAATCTCAAAGGAGGTGCGATCAGGAGATCCAATGAGTGAGGCATCAGAACCATCCGTCGGAGAGGGTGGGGGCGAGTCGGTGCTTTTGATGATGACAGTGGCATCGGCGCAGAGAGAGGAAAAGAGTCGAGGAGAGAGAAAGAGATGGCTGGGATGAAGGGAGGGGTGTGGGAACAGAGCTCAAGGGTAAAAGGGCAAGCCACTGTTCATAATCCTACAGAAGGAAGACACTGACCAACCATTTAAGCGGGGCAAAAACGTCATTTTACTATTACTATGAACTTAGGTCGTTTCTATCTAATGTGATGAGAGAGGTTTCTGCAAAACTTGGTACTCTAGTTGATCTACAAAGACAACTTCTTTCCCCAATATTAAAAGGAAAATATTATCCAAGTTACGGATGAATGGTAAGGAATCTCTTTTACAAAAAAAAATGTGTATGCAATAAAAAGGTTCTTATCGTCCTTGATGATGTGGATCAATTAAAACAACTTGAAACACTGGTTGGAGAGAAAAATTGGTTTGGTTTGGGGAGTAGAATTGTCATCATAACTAGAAATGAACGTCTACTAGGTGAACATGGTGTAACGATACCATATGAGGTCAAGGCATTAAATGATGATGAAGCTCTTGATCTCTTTAATCAAAACACCTTCAGGTAAAGTTAGCTTGGAGAACGTTTCTAGGAATTGTGTAAGTGTTTCCTACATTATGTGACGCAACACAAGCAAATAGGTTACAAGTGTAACCTATAAAAAAGAACATAAACCTGAGATCCACCAAAAAATTAGAGAGAAATTCTCACTATTTGTATTATTTGATAAAAGATGAGTTTAGTTGAACCAAGCATGACAGCTGATTAAATACATCGTTCTCACCCATTGGACTGCTCTAGGGAGTTATTGAAAGCTTAACATAAAATAAATGGAAAGTCTGTAAATTAAATACAATCTTTAAATGCACTTTTGGAAGCCCAAACGCCCAAAATCCACCTTATGCCACAGTAAAACAGTGAGTTGGACTCATGGCGTCGTTCCCTTTTCCATATGGTATTATGCGACCCAATCAGAGCTCAGACGCCAAATCTATAAATTCATGCTGCGTCCTTTTTCCCTTCTTCGCTCCAATTCTTCTTCAATCCATTCAGCCATTTGTTCTACATCATTATGCGAAAGGCATTCCTTTAGCTCTTAAAACTTCGGGGAGTTATAGGAGTTATCAAGATACATGGAATAGTGTGTTGTATAATCTAAAGAAAATTCATGATCCAGAAATTTTTGATGCACTCAAAGTAAGTTATTACGGACTAAAAGAGATGGAGAAGAAATTTTTTCTCCATGTTGCATGTTTCCATAAAGGGAAGCATAAAGAGGATGTAATTGAAATACTAGACAAGAACAACGACATTTCTAGTCGCATTGATAGATATTCTTATTGAGAAATCTCACTATTTTCGCACTCTGTGGCTGCTCAAAAGTGGAAAAGCTTCCAGAATTTGAGGGACATATGCAAAATTTGTTCAAGCTCATTTTAAAAGGTACTGCTGTTGAGAAAATTCCTTCATCAATTGAAGGTCTGGTTGGCCTCGCTGTAGAGGGTATGTACAGTCACAAAAGTCTCTCGGGTCAAATATTCATGCAAAGATCCTCAAGTCAAACTTGTCAAGCTGCCAGGGGAGGTGGTGTGTTTAGAGAGCTTGAATTAAGTGAAAGTGCTATGAGAGAGCTGCTTGTTTTTATGAAACATCACAAATATCTATCCTTTTGTGGAACATCAACTTCAAGGGATGCTTTGGTGAGTTTTTAGAGGAATGTTAAGGCCTTGACATTGTCGATTTTGAAGTCATCGATGCTTTGGGTCCAAAGGGTGGTTCTCATTAACATTGGAAGAGGTCCTCATCTTGATGAACCTGCAGGATGGCCAGTTAGGTGGGAATATTCTTCTAAACAAAGAGTTGGGAGCTTGCTTGGAAGTTGATTACTCTTTGGTAATTGGACGTGTTCAGCTCTTTCTTGGGGATTTCCTCAATTCTTAGTTTCTTGCCTGTCTCCTTGTTCTCTTCTTGAGAGGTTCATTGGTTTTATTATTTTATGGCTTGTGCTATGGTGATCATTGCGAAATTTGGCTGTGCAAGATTATTTTAGTAGACATCTAACTTATCTCCGGCTCAATTCATTATTGCATATGCAATTAGATTCCAATTGAAACCGTGTGCAGTTTTCTTTGGTTAACACACCACCATGCGACATAGTTTCCATCTCTCTTTCTCTCTCTCTCTCTCTCTCTCTCTCTCTCTCTCCCCCTCTTCCTTTATTTCCCCACTGTTTTTCATCTATTCCTACAACTTTCGCATTTAGTATTTTCTGAGAGTTTGCAGAACCAGATTTCTAGGGACTTATTTTCTTTTCCAATGGCCTTCAGCACCCAGAGAGCCTCTACATCTCGTACTTCAGCTGAATCGGCTCCCCCACATTGGAAGCATGATGTGTTTTTGAGTTTCAGGGGAGAGGACACTCGCAGGGGTTTTATATCTCATTTATACCACGAACTGCAGTACTGGCAAGCAATAAAAACTTTCAAGGACGACCGAGACCTTGAAATAGGAGCAAGTATTTCTCTGGAGCTGTTGACCGCAATCGGACAATCACATCTTGCCATCATTATTCTCTCCCCAAATTACGCTTCTTCCACCTGGTGCTTGGATGAACTTTCAAAGATTCTTGAATGCATGAAAGACAGCAAGAGAATTATACCAATATTTTTTAAGGTTGATCCTTCCGATGTGCGAAATCAAAGGGGGAGTTTTACGGAAGCGTTCACGAAGCATGAAGAAAAGTTCAGTGAAGATGTAGACAAGGTGAAGCGGTGGAGAGATGCTTTAAAAGAAGTTGCCAATCTCTCTGGGTTGGATTCAAAGAATTATCAGTATGTATGCATGCATGAAACGTGCCCATTTCTTAACAAATTTAGAGAGCTTTACTTGGATGCTAAGTTTTAGTTCTTCCTTTGATTCAACACCTTGTTAATTATATGTAATGTGTACCCTCTTGATAGTTAGTTTTTCTTCCTTGTAGGTCTGAAAGAGAGCTTATCAAAGTCGTTGTCAAACGTGTGTGGACCAAAGTTACTCCATATAGGTTGTTAGATTCTCAAGAGAAGTTAGTCGGAATTGATTTTGCCCTTGAGAAACTACGTTTACAATTAGACCTCGAGGCAAATGACGTTCGCTTTATAGGGATATGGGGGATGGGTGGGTTAGGCAAAACAACCCTTGCTAACCTAGTTTTTGAAAGAATTTCCCATAATTTTGAACTGAGCTCGTTTCTATCTAATGTGAGAGAGGTTTCTGCAAAACATGGTACTCTAGTTGATCTACAAAAACAACTTCTTTCCCCAATCTTAAAGGAAAATATTATCCAAGTTACAGATGAACGGTCAGGAATCTCTTTCACTAGAAAATGTTTATGCAATAAAAAGGTACTTATCGTCCTTGATGATGTGGATCAATTGAAACAACTCGAAACACTGGTTGGAGATAAAAATTGGTTTCGTTTGGGGAGTAGAATTGTCATCACAACTAGAAATGAACGTCTACTAGTTGAACATGGTATATCGATACCATATGAGGTCAAGGTATTAAATGATGATGAAGCTCTTGAGCTGTTCAGTGAAAAGGCCTTCAAGAAAAGTCAGCCTCAGGAAGGTTTCTTGGAATTATCTAAGCGTTTCCTACAATATGCCAAAGGTCTTCCATTAGCTCTTAAAACTTTGGGGAGTTCTTTGTATAGGAGAGATCAATGTACATGGAAAAGTGCGTTGAATAATCTAGAGAAAATTCCTAATCCAACAATTTTTCACTCACTCAAAGTAAGTTATGATGGACTAGAAGAGATAGAAAAGAAATTTTTTCTCGATGTTGCATGTTTCCATAAAGGGAAGCATAAAGAGCATGTAATTGAAATACTTGACAAGATCCATGACATTTCCAGTCTCTTTGTGATAGATATTCTTATTGAGAAGTCTCTCTTTACTATAAAAAACAACCTTTCTGACAACAGGGTTGAGATGCATGATCTCGTACAAGAAATGGCATGGGAAATTGTTCGTCAAGAGTCTATCCAAGAGCCTGGTCAACGCAGTCGTTTGTGGCTTCGCGATGATATCTCTCATGTAATCATGAACAATACGGTAAGAAGTTATATAGAAATATTATGTTTGGAAGAAAATATATGCCATTTCTTTTAAAAAGATATTAGACTTGAATGTGCAATTACCTTTTCATTTTTTTTTAATTATTAGGGAACCGGAGCAATTGAAGCCATTGGCTTGCGTTTGCCGAAATTAGAAGAGGTGAATTGGAATTGTACTGAAGCCTTCCTTAAGATGCACAGATTAAGGCTTCTTCAGTTTGATAATGTGATCGTTTCTTCAGCCCCCAAAGATCTTCCAAATTCCTTAAGAACTATCAGGTGGAATTGGTACCCTTCTAAATCACTCCCATCAAGTTTTGAACCACGTTTCCTTGTTGAACTAGAGATGCGTCGTAGCAAACTTTTACAGCTTTGGGATGGAGCAAAGGTGAGAGATTATTGAAATATGGCGTTTTAGAATTCTTTTATATATACACAATTTGGATATAATTGTAACTTGTTCAACTAAGTAAATTTTAAATTATTATTTTACAATTTTTTTGTATTGTACAGGTCTTGCCAAACTTGAAATGTATGGACCTTAGTTACTCTGATCAATTGACAAGTACCCCAGATTTCACAGGCGTTCCAAATCTTGAGATTTTGCGGCTACGATATTGTAAGAATTTAGTTGAGGTTCACTGGTCTTTTGCAGTTCTCAAAAAGCTAAAATATTTGATACTTGAGGGATGTGGAAGTATTAAGAGTCTCCCAAGTGTGGTGGAAATGGATTCTCTTGAATGGTTTAGTCTCTTTGGCTGCTCAACAGTGAAAAACATTCGAAGATTTGTGGAACAGCTGAATAATTTGTCCCATCTTTGTTTATATGGGATTGCTATTGAGCAGATACCTCCATCAATTGGACGCCTTGTCGGCCTTAAAGAGCTGGATTTGAGAAACTGCACCAAAATTAACAAAATGCTGTTATCTTCTCTAAAATGTTTCACGTCCTTGGAAACTTTAGACTTGAGTAGTTGTAATATTGATGAAGGAGCCATCCTTGCTGATATTGGCTGCTTGTCTTCCTTACAAACCTTGATGCTTTGTGGAAACGATTTCGTTAGCCTTCCCTCAAGCATTAGATTCCTTTCCAAGCTTGATTTTCTTGGATTGATAGGGTGCGAAAGGCTTGAGCGATTGCCAGATCTTCCTCCAAATATAGAAATGGTAGATGTAGACGATTGTATATCCTTAAAAAGGTTGCCGGATCCATCAAGGCCAGGACCCAATTTGTATGATTTTAGGTTTACTTGTCTTAATTGCTTCAAATTGGTTGAAGAGGAAGACTGGATTAATGCAATATTTGAAATGATAAGGACAGCAGCCATTGAGGTATTTACTCTCTCGTTGAATATTATAGTTTTTGACCAATAAATAAATAAATATAATTTCGACCCAAAAAAAAAATAATGGTAATTCTTTTGTTACAGGGAATGCTCTTAAAAAATAATGGTAATTCTTTTGCTCCAGTGAGCTGTATTGTATGCCCTGTATGTGAAATTCTAGAGTGGTTTGGTAATCCAAGTGTGGGAGACTCAATAACTGTGGAGCTGCCTCTCCCTCCACACCCGTCAAATAGCAGCGACTGGGTTGGGATTGCTTTATGTGTTGTTTTTGATGATTCTGAATATTTTGATAGTCCTGCATCCCTTCTTGGATATGAGTATTTCAAAATTGAAGTTCGATCATCTCAGAGATATTTGAATGACCCTCAATTCTTTCTTACTGAGATGATTTTGTCAGAACACCTTTGGGTTTTTTATTTGCCTCGCAATCATCCAAGCCTCACGGATGCCTCAACCAGTCATCGGTTTTCGTTCGAAACGCATTATTCTTCAATTACAGGTTTGGAAGAACTTAAAACAAGCTCTATTATAAAGGAATGTAGGGCCCGTTTGGTGTACAAGAGAGATTTGGAAGAATTCAGCCGTTTGATGTACGTTGACGAGGCAGGTCCAATTGGTAGTAGTGGAAGTGATAGCTCTGATGATGACTATGAACGAGGAATTGGGAGCTCTGATGATGATGATGAACGAGGAATTGGTAGCTCTGATGTGGATGATGAACCAGTCAGCAAAAGATTGAAGAAAGTCTAAATTATTTTGTGCATGGTGCAATCATTCAACGAGGTCTCAAAATAGTACTTGAAAAGCTAATGACGATTCGACGATGGTCAATCCTCAGAATTCATCTCAGTAAGTCACCTTTTCTTTTCATTTTTCTTTTGAGCTACTGTTTAATTTGCTCTGAAACTTGTCAATCTGACTGACGGAAGGACACTATCTATCTATCATTGTTTAATAATACTTGTCTCTCATCTAGTTTCAAATTTGATGAAAAGCAAGCAATGCATTGGTGGCATTCACAAAGTTTCAAATTTGGTTGCATCATATTTAGTTCTTATATTACGTAGGAGGAGAGAGAGTAATTCTCTTGTTACATCTTGTTTGTATAGTTTGCAGGATATGCTGTAATTTTGTGTTCCTCTAATTTTGTGCTATTTCAATTGCTGTGTCAGATAATGTACTGAAAACAGACAAGTAAGGTGTCTGTATGCCATGAAAATGCACTATCTGAATGAACCTTTGCAGATGCTGCCCAACTGAAGCATTTAGAACCGCACACTATTGAATGAACATCAGATTTTATTGGTAACTCAGGAGGTATCTTGTTGTGCTTAAATAAAATGGTTTTTGCATACTGTTATTGTTGTGCTCTAAGAATATAAGGTACTTGGGTGGATATGTTGGTCGTGCGATTTTTTCACTTTGTGCCCCTTGGGTGTGGCAGTTCTTCCCTTCAACTTGTCCCGATGATGTCGTCTCAGGCGATGGCGGCGGCGGCGGCTCAGTTGAATTTTGGTTAGGGTTTGTTAGCTTTCTTGGCCTTGGTATGGGCTTGTGTGGGCTTAATGCCTTCTGGGTTTTTAACTTCGTGTTAGTTCTTTTGCATTTTATTTGGGCCTTTGGCATTTTCGCTTTGTTGATGAGCCTAGTTGGTTGGGTCTCACCTTTTGGTGTAATGTTTTGTCCTTTTGTGGGTTTTTAATGAAATCCACTTTTGACCCAAAAAAAAAAAAATGGTTTTTTCTTTTTTGGGTCTAACTTCATTACAAAGCAGACCACATTTGTAAAACAAAATACATACAAAAACCCATAGATTGGAAATGGCCAAAAAACAAAAACAAAAATTAACCATCCAATTGCTTGCACTGCCTTTTTCCTATTCAACTAAGGGTTATGTTCTATAAGAAATGTGAAAACTAAAATTCTATCAAACACAGAAGTGAAAACAATATTTAAGATTATTGTGCTTTGACTAACGATTCCAAAAAAAATCAATCAAGCAGTGCACCGGAGTTTCAAGTCCGGTGGTCGGAGTTCAACGTTCGGTGACTGGACTGAAGAGTTAAAATTGGTTAAAGAGTTGGGACAAAAATTAAAAAAAGCACATGTGTTGTTTTATAGGTGAGCCACGTCATCCTTTAAAATGATTTTTTTGGGGTCAGAAATTGGTCCTGGTATATCAGCAGCCAAGCAAGCATAGCCTTAGCAGCGGCAAGTTGTTGCGGCAGTCCAATACGTTAATGGAGCTCCTTGCAGTCTCTTTCTCGTCATCTCTGGCTGGTACCTCTCTCTCTCTCTCTCTCACATACACAGAATCATGCAGCAACATAATCTATAACTTGTCGGCTTATCTGGGTATTAATTATTTTGGCTTATAATTCATTAAATTTTTTTGAATTTATGAGCTTTCCCATTTGGTATTTTATAATAGTTTTCATTCCTTGTGGATTGATGTTATCTTTGATTCTTGGTTTAAGCTGTAATTTCAGTTTGACTATCCTTAGAACTTCAATTTATACTTGGTAAATTATTATCTGTACTTGTATTGTCATGATTCTTTTCATCATATTTAGTTTCTCATTGCTACAATTACATGTGCCCTGTGATATATAAAATAGTGTGTGTACACAGACACACACACACACACACACACACATATGTACATGTTTCAATGTATATTCTTTTAAATAATAGAATCACCAATTTTATGCTGTTTTAGACGCAATGTTTAGTATTTATTGTGATAGTTGTGATTTGCTATGTATATTTTATTATATGCATCGTAATAATTTTATATTCCTGCAAAAATATATCCTGAAAGCATAGAATTCTTCTTGTCTTAGGGAATGCCTTGTTTTTGGCGCGGCAGCATTTGTGCAAGTGGAAGAACCATAGTAGATTTGACCTAGAAGCCAAATTTGTGAGAAATAGAATTTTGGATAAGAGTTTGAGAAGAGGAAGGAGGTGTTTATCTGAAAAAACAGAAGCTTCTATTTCTTGTTCAACTGGTACAGGGGAGGATCCCCTTATACCTGTTGAGAAATTAAGTGATGCACGCATCATTTATGCTGTAGCTCCTGCCATGGGTCATAACCAGGTACATTCAGCTGGCCAGTTGTGCAATGCGCACCTTTTTATACTGATTTATTGCCATGGTTCTTCATTAGTTTACTTGATAGTTTTTCTGTTTTTTTTAAATTGAAAAAGTTCTTGGTCTTCTTTAGTTTTGCATTTCTGGGGTTTATTGTAATTGTTTCAATTTCAATGAATAGCATACTTATATACCACGCAATCAATGTTTTCTAAACGTACTAACATTGCAATTTTTCTCTTCTGAGTTATGTGTGGGTCACACAGCTACATGTGTAGTTGGAGTTAAGCCTGAGCTAAACTTAACTTTAGTTTAGATGCGCTTCTGCTTGAATTTGGTTTCGCATGGCAACATTTTTCATAAAAGTTTGAAGTTTATTTATTCATCCATATAAATACATAACATATACATACACACACACACACACACACACACACACACACAGAGTAATACGTATCATATGAGTCCGTTGACTGATTAGCCTCATTCTTAATAATTCTGAGTAGATGCAAATTTATCCTTTTGTTTTTTGGTTTTCTCTTCATTTAATGGTTGTAACGATTCTGTACTTATTTCTTTCTATGATGGTGTTACTGTTATAGTTCTTTCTACTTCTAATAGTCTGAATTACGGTTGCTAGCAGGAGTCTCATCCAGAATCCCATTTTAGAGTTCCTGCAATAGTGAATGCTCTTGAAAAATGGGAGCTCTCGCCAAAGGTATCAATATATGTCTTAAACTGCACAGACCCTCAATTTTTCTGCCATTGTTCACTTGCCTTTCCATTTTTGTCTGTTACATTTTATTTATTTATTATTCAGTAGTTTAACAAGCCGATCCAGAAATGCCTTACAATTTTATCTAAGCAAGTTAATGATAATTTTGATACGTAGGCTTGATGGCCACCTCCCTACAGTGATAATTTGATGTGCAAGCTTGATCTGCTATAAGGTTCAAGGAGTGGGCCGCATTGCAGACATCAATGCACTCGAGCAGATTGAGCAGCTCGTCAAGCAGTTGCTTGATGTCTTTCTCATTCTGCTCTGGGCTTAAGGTTAAACCCAAGAGCTAGACCTTAAATTCTAGGCCTTGAATGACAAGTCTACGTCCTAAAATAATCAGATCAACCCTCTCTGAACCAGAATATAAAATGTAAAAAAAGAAAAAACTAGAGAAACTCTAAAAGCCTAAGCTTGAAACGGAGATTCTACACCCTAAATTAATAGACCCGGTTCAAACTGAAAATTGGAAAAAAACTGAAAAATGGAAGGCAGTTTGAACAACCTTGGTGGCAATTCAAATGGCAAGGGATCCTGCAAACAGAAATTCACTAGTCAAAATCAATCCAAGATGTTTTCTTGTGTGTAAACACAAATTTATCTATTGTTTGCATACGTAGGCAATTTTCTTACCTTTCCTTCATGTATGAAACAAGACTTTTGATTTTTATTTTTTGTTGATTATTTGTTCTATAATGCGGATGGGAAAAAAAGGGACAGGTGAGAAGTCAGAGCAACTATTTGGTATCTTTGTGTTCTGTACAACCCAAACTTAGACAAGGACTAGGCAGGCTTGGCTGCCGTACTCTAGTATGAATAGGCTCTTAAGAGGCTCTTGTATTCAATTTTTTATGAATATAATTCCACGATTCAGTTTATAGAGTTTCTTTTGGGATTCTTGCCCTAGAACTCAATTATCTTCGTTCCAACTTCAATTCTATGGCTTTATCATGCTATTTTCTGTTTTTTATTTTCTGGAATCCGTTTCTTATTTTACCCACTGGGCAGCAGCTTATTTCTACTGTTCTGCACCAATTTCACACACTAGCTTATCTTCGATAAGTATTCAAGTAGCTGACGTGTGGATAGGCCTTGTGTCGATATTCTATTTTCTTGAGTGCTTAAAAAACAAAGGCCCAGATCTCATTGGGAGCAACACTACTTTAAGTACCCCCTGTAACCATGCCTATTAGCAGCCATAACTCAACCTCCCCAATAGATTAGAGGTACTGGGAACTTTTACCTTGGAATAGAGATAATAATGACTCTATACTTCTTTCAATCACTACATATGATGTATGTTACTCATTGTAATTAGAGGACTTGATCGATGTTTTAACTGTTGAGTAAGTATTGAAATGGAATTTAGCCTCATCCCCTTTGTTTTTTTTCCACACCAAATCCCTTGCAAGTCATTTAGTTGATGCAGCTGCCAATTTTTGACATGGCCTCACAAAATCGTTGGTAATATTACCACCACTTCTGTTTTATACTTTTTTTTGCCTCACAAAACTATATGTCAAGCCAGTATTCCATGAATATCCGTTGTACACTTGGAAATAAGCACCTGATAGGGTTGCTTGACTACCACAGTGGATAGATAAAATAGGCATTGGCATTGGCAGTGGATAAATAAGCAAGTTCTCTATTGAAAAAGTCCATTAGCCCTCCAATTCAAGTTCTATTTTCTGGTTTACATATGAAGCAATACAATTCCCAATTGTTTAATCATCTTTTGTCTTATAACTCAGTTCCGTGGCTTGGAGGTTGTTGAACTTGAAAATTTCAACGCAGCATCATCGAATGACATTGCAAGTGTTCATACAAGAGCCTATGTATCAGGCCTTGAGAAGGTAACAAAAGTAACCATCACAATTTTTA